TAGTCTCTTCTTCAGGTGTTCCTGCATTTTGAGACTCCTTTCGTCCCGCTGGATGAAGTTTGTCCTTCCATGGGAACGAGGTTCTAAAAAGGAAGGAGAAATGAATTCACTGTTCAGTATCCTTTACTTCACATCTGACAAACACTCTGGAAGCTGGAAGAATCACTACAGTAAAACCAGAAGCTGAACCCCTCAGGAACTTTCCTGTGCTCTGTCAGTCTGGAGGGACAGGGATTTTTGAGGTCTTTTTAAACTGAATTGTTCAGGCCTTTCTCCCGTCAGCTGCTCCACATCCTGCCTTACAGCTGCTTTTCTTCCCTGCTACAGACCCATTTGCAAAAAAATAAGCAAATTTAGGACCCAAACTAACTTTTTTAAAACACAGCTTGGGGGCTACTGGATATTTTACCCTAAACATGAGTCAAAACATCTTAATTATCAATTTAAGCTTGAGAGAGAGAGATAGTGAATGGTCTTACATAGTTTAATTTCTTCCTGTTTTAACTCTTGATCATTTAATAAGGTATATAATAACTCTGAAGTGTGTAAAAGCTTGGTGTAATTCAGCATGACCCCAGTCCTTCACTGAGATATTGATTCATTCAGTTTTTAAATACAGAGTGGACTTGCACTTCACTCTCCAACATGGATAACTATGTTTTATGGTTTATAGATAGTATTTTTATTCTCTTTTTAGTCATATTTGGACTCAAAAAAATACATTCACGTATCAAATTAAACACATTTTCAAGCCAAGGCTGTGACAAAACACATCAGTTTTGGAGAGCACAGTTTTAGGGAGAGGTAGAAGCCACCACTGTGGGATTTACAGCACCAAAAGCAGGGATCTGTGGAAAACACACAGGATCACAACACTTCCCAGGCACTGCCTTTGCAATAAAGATGTAAAAATGGAAGAGCAGCAGATTGAAGGTTTATACAACCCTACTTTGCACTCGTTGAGTGCAGACCAGGCTCCTACACACCTCCCCCCAGGGGTGTGTGCTCTGCCAACGGCCCCAAACCCACGGACAGAGCCACGGACAGAGCCACGGACAGCCCCTGTCCCACCTGGCTGCCTCCCAGGTGCTCCCTGTGCAGCCCCTGTCCCACCTGGCTGCCTCCCAGGTGCTCCCTGTGCAGCCCCTGTCCCACCTGGCTGCCTCCCAGGTGCTCCCTGTGCAACCCCTGTCCCTCCTGGCTGCCTCCCAGGCGCTCCCTGGGCCTCACCTTGCTCCTGGAACACGTGTGGAGGCGGGTGCTGGTGGATGAACTGCGGGGGCAGCTCCCCGGTGCCCACCGGGGGGAACACGGGGTGTGGGGGGTGCGGGAGCAGAGCGTGGGGGTGGTGCATGTAATGGGGCACGTGGGGGGGAGGGGGAGGAGGGGGATGCATGGAAGGGTGGAATTCCGAGTGGGGCACCACCACCACCTTCCGGACTCCGTTTTCTTCCACCACCTGCCACACAACGGGAGAAATCCAAGGTCAATCCAGAGACAACCTTATAAAGAAATATTTACAAGTAATAAGGAATTTCTGTGCTTGAGTCCATACCCACAACCTGCCAAGCAGGGATTTGCACCCCAAACTGAATTCCAGGGGAAACCAAGCATGTATTACTAGAAGGAAGAAGAGTTGGAGGGTCAGCGGTAACACCCCAAAGTGCTGAACAATCCCAGAATCCCAGGATAGTCTGGGTGGGAAAGGACCTCACAGCCCTCCAGTCCCACCCTCTGCCATGGGCAGGGGCACCTCCCACCGGACCAGGCTGCTCCAGCCTGGCTTTGGACACTTCCAGGGATGGGGCATGAAACCTGTTCACCACTGAACCACTTCATCCCACTTTGGCAAAATCCAGAACGATCCCTGGGCTCTTCCAGTCATTGGGAACACAAAGGTAAAGTCTCATCTCCCGACAGGAACAGCCTGAGTGACTCAAGCTCTGATTTAGAGTTCATTTAAAACTTGTCAATCCCTGTCACAACAACCAAGGGAAAACAAACCAACCCTCCTGGTTTCAGGTGACAGCAAACACAGAATAAATAAATGTATTTTTCAGGCTGTACTGCCAGGGCTTTGCACTCTGTTTGCACTGATGGCTCCATTTCAGAGCGATGAATTATATAACCTGGAGGATCTTTCTTCAGGGTTTGCATGAAAGTACCTACTCAGAACAGCAGAAGTCCCAAATGCAGCTGTGTGCAAAAAACACAACCCAAGAACACACAGCTACAAGGTTTCAGGCCTACTGAGAAAACTCCTGATTTTAAATATTACCAGGAAATGTCTGCAAAACCAAATTAAACTATTTGCTTTTCATTATTTCCCTTTCAAATGCATTAACTTAGAAGTAAATCAAACTGGTCATTTGAGCATCTCTGGTAACAGCTCAAATACCACACACAGGTCTGATCTGCTGTGACTTAGCAACACCCAGGAGTGGAAAATCCATGAGAATGGAAAAATAAAGCTGGGAGAGCCCAAAGCCCTGCTCATTTCACAGGCACGTGTCACTGGAATTAGTGTTTCCATCACTAACACTCCCTTCACACTCTGCTCCAACAGTGGGGTTTTGCTGGATGTTGAGGAGGTCAGGGGCAGTGAAAACTCTGATTATTTAGGACTATTTAGTTATATTAAAATACAAAAACCTGCAGCCAGCTGGGAGTGTTTGCATGACCCAGGCACCCACCCTCACCTTGTAAACAGGACTGATGGAAAACAAACATGTGGATCCTGTTAATGGATCAAGACAGTCAACTCGGAGTCATCTTTCTTACTAAAAGTATCTTTTACTGCCTAAGAGTATTTAAAGAAAATCCTGGAAACCCGATCAAATTTTACTCAGTGAACAGAGGTGACAGAGCCCACAAAATAAAGTGAAATAGTCGTTAAGGTCAATGGAAAAAATAGGAGAAATGATTTTTTCCCAGCTAAGATAATCAATAAATAAGATAAATATTCTTAAACCCACACAGAATATAAAACTTAAATAAAAATCTATAAATGATATAAAAACATGAAATAGGAGGATGAATGAAGTTTACCTGAGATACATAACCGGGAGGCACAAATATTGGTGGCATGGAACCATTTGGTGACATCAGAGGGACATGTGCTGGACCTGGGGAGGAACGAGGGGCCACTTTTAAACAAACCAGGGTTTTCCCATCTGGAAACACCTTTTTCCAAAGGTGGGAGCTCACCCTGGGGCCTGAAACACCAGCAACTGCATCTGACTCGGCCCTGGATTATTGGCTTTATCCCAACCACCACCCCCAGGCAGCCAACAGTGTTTGTTTCATTGCACAAAAATCAGTATAGATAATTTTAGCTCTTATTTTGTGGCAGCTAACAGTCTGTAGTAATGCAGACGGCTGGTCTAGTAACTTTTTTTTGAATTTTAAATAAGAATACATTGTTTTTCACATCAAGCTGAAAGGAAGTATTTCTGTGTGGGACTTGATGAAAGCAGAATGGACACATTTTATATAATAACATTTGAAATGGTGAAAAATATGTCCAAAATAGAAATACTGATAAATTCAACTTGACTTACAGGAGATATTTTGTCCCAACTCAGATGTTCTGTCACTTACCCAGAAGGTAAAAAGGAATTTTCAGGCACAATTGGGAGCAATAATTCCCCCGGCACCTGCCAAGGCTGTACCTGACAGCACAGTGAGGTCACAGGGGCTGTTAAAGTTGTTTAGATTATTGTGGATTAAATCCCATGTAAATTCATTCCCAGGATTCTGGGAAGACAAGTTATTCAAGGATCACTGCAAAACCAGCTTTTATAAATTAAAGTCTGCAGGATATGGGGGATCCTGGCAACTTCCCAGGGCTTTAACAAAAATCTGATGTATTACACTGCAAAGCATATAAACCACATTTGATAGCACAGAAACAAACAGGAACTTCGGAGCCAAAATATCTGGATTCAGAACTCCAGCTTCCCTTTACCTTGAATACACTGCATGTGCCCATCTTCAGTTGTAATTGTAAATGTTTCACCTGGGTTTACCTGGACAAGAATAACCTGGAGGAAACAAAACACAAAAGAGGTGTTGGGGTTTTTTAATATTTTAAGAACTAATTGGGGGGAAAAACCCCCATCTCTTCCTTCTCCCCACGTGTGAAGTTAAAACAACAAAGCTCTGGCGACCCTGGAGCAGAAAAGCAGGATGAGACACTTGTGGGTGGAATGAGATTTCTTCATACTTTGACATCAAATCACTATTTTTTTCTCTGATTACCACCAGAAGTGCTCCCCTTGACACACCTGAAATAATTAACTAAGCCTTTGATTTCAATTCTTTCACACTGCTTTTTCTTCTCTTACTGAAGCAACAAATGACCTGAGCTTCTCTTTGCTTTTCCAGCTTTTCCCACCCCCTCTGCCCTGGATCTCCCAAAGGATCAGGTGTGGTTTCTGTGCAACTGGGCAGTTAAAGAAATACAACTCCCAGTGAGATTCTGCAGGTCCCTTTGGACATGACCACATCCATCTGCACACAAATCCATGTGGAAATCTGCCAGCCACCCCTCAGGCACCATCCTGTCCCTGTGCAGGGTGTCACAAACCACCACCTCGTCCTGCCCCACGCACAGAACATGTTTCAGTCTCAGGGAAATATTGGCAGCTGCAGCTTTATTGTAATTTTACTGTAACATGGCAAACTTCTGCAGTGAATTTTATGGTATTCTACAGGCACAGGTCTAATTCTTCAGTAAAATGAGTGTTTGGCCAGGTAAGAACTGCATTACATAGTCAAAATTCCACCCTGGTGATGGCCAGCACATGAAGAAAGGCCAGTGTAAAACTAGAAATAAAATATATTTGTTAAATTAGGTGTGAAACTCAAAAAATCTAATCTTCTTTCCTTCAATTTTTATAAAGTATTTTTATACTATTCATGGAATAGTTGTATCAAGTAGATGGGACCTGAAGAGATCACATAGCCACCCAACTCCTGGTAAAATGAGCTACTCATGACATTAATGAATAAATCAATTCTGTGCTGCCACATCTCCAGTGATGGAGCTCCAGACACCTGCACCACACTCACCTTTCACCACCCTCATCAGTAGAGACTCAAAGGAACAGACTGAAAAATGCCATTTAACACTGATTTTGCAGCTTCTGCATATTGGTATATTAATCTTGACTTTATTTTTTGTAACATCCCTTGTACAGGAGCATTGATGCTCCTTGCACAGGAGGATTTTCCTTTGGGTAGATGAGTTGTTTCTGGGTATAACTAAACCACCAAAACCTCCTGAAAAGGCCATTTAGCCAGTCAGCAATACTTATTGTGGTTCCAGGAGAAGGAAAGATGGCAGAGAATACCTTTAAAAATGGTAAATTAAAACACTGGAACTTCAGCAGATCTGTCATTCCAGCATATAAGTAAATTTGACTTTAATGCTACTGAATTTCTCAGAGCAGAGAGAGAGAAGGGCTGTTAATTGTTTAAAGCAAACTGACAATAATGGGCTGGGGATCTGCCAGAGCACAAGGAACCAGGAAGAGGAGGTTTGCTGGGGATGGGATCAACCCTCCCAGCAGAGCTCACCCTCCAGGCAGGAGAGGGATCCCTGGAGGGATTCTGAGCCTCTGAACGTGGCAGATCTTCAGAGCAGGTTTCAGTGAACTCCAGTGCTCAGACCCAGCTCAGGGAACTCTCACTGAGCAAAGATCCCCAGTCAGTGGTGCACTCACAGGCTGCAGCAGCTCCAGACTGGAATTCCAGGAATGCACAGGCAATGTCTTGGAGGAATGACTCACTGTAATTAATGAAGCAAATGCAGTTGCATCCACCTTCCAAGGAGGCACATTTCCAGGAAGCTGGAGCCTCTCTAATGAGTGGAGCTGAGCCAAGTTCCACACAGGGAGTGCTGGAGCCCAGACCTGCCAACACCTCCGGGTGTCCTGTGCAGCCCCTCAGAGCCAGGGCAGCAGCACACTGGGACACCTATTGCCAAGGACCAGGCTCTGCTTTTATCCCTTAGCCACACACTTTCCACTGCTCAAGTTTTTTCAGAACAAAAAAAAAAAAACAAAAAACCAACCCAGAAAAACTTCCAACTTTTTGCTTTATGTGACATGAAACTAATGATGAGCTGCATTCACTGCCTGAGGGGACTGGGCAAACACACAGGGTGGGTTTCTGAGAACAAATCACTGTACATTTATCATAGAAATTCTGTATTTCTATAGATATATTTTTATATTAATTACATATTTATATAGAGAGTGTCCTCTGGCAGTGAAATAATTAAAAATCATCTGCATTAACACAGATTCTAAGTCAAGGTTCTATTTAAACTTCAAACCTACTCTTCAAATGCATTTCCAAGATATAAGTCTTTTTTCTCTCCCTTTTCTACTCTCACCTGGTGGCAAACAGTCTGCTCTGGGTTCCAAAAATGTCACCTCCTCATGGGTCATTCAGCACACACTGACCTACCCCAAGACACATCCCACACACAGCTCTGGGACAGGGGCCAATTAGATCTACTTGATTTCTTTTCCTTCATCTCTTTTCCTCATGTAACATGAAACACAAGGTTCTGGGCAGGGGCTGAAATTTCACCTTCTAGTGCCAGAACTTCTGACATAGCTCAGAGACTCCACAGCTTTACTTATTTCCAGACACACTCATTGTACTTCCATCTCCAGAGTCTGAGGCAAAAAGACAAAAGTACTTTTTCTTTAATAAATTGAATACAACACAGGCCTCTCCTTCTTCCCATGACAAATTAAAGAATATCTCATTTCAAGTTTTCCAGCATTTACTGCCTATAAATGACCCCCAACAATTCATGATTATTTTGCTGTACCCTGTTCAGTCACTGTACATTCAAATATCCCAAGGGCTTCACTGTCACCATAATCATTCCATGACAGTTATCCCCTGGGAACTTTTATGCAATTTTCCCTTCTGAATTAAGCCCTGAATTCCCATTTCACTTGGTGTCAGACACTGGAGGTGATGAACTGATCAGATTAAAGCAATGGGCAGTTTGTCCCTTGCTTCAACAGAACAATTCTTTAACTCAGGCACAGAAATCCTTCGAATGTATGTTTTGTTATTACAGAATCCCTGAACAGCCCAGGTTGGAAGGAACCTTGAGATTATCTGGTTCAAGCCTTTGTGGGAAAGAGGGCCTAGAAAAGATGCATTGTTAAAGTACCAGGATGGCTGGGAGAGTTCTGAGGGCACTGCAAGTCTGTCTCCAGAGGTTGGGAAGATCCTCAGCATTTACAGCACGAGGAATTTGACTTCTACTGCCAAATAGTAAATTCACTTCATGTTTACTGACAACTTACACAACCTTGGGCTTCAAAACTGTTTTACTTTCACTTTTGCCTGTATTTCTAACCCTCAGGTACTTCTGAAGGGTTGTGTCCAATAAAACTCTAAAGTTTCAACTCAGTGCACTCAGGTTTCACCACTGCACTGTAATTATTAATGAAGACACTTAATAACAGGAAGTCAAGGTCTTTCCTTTCATTTTCCTGTAACAGACTTCTTGCTTTAGAGCCCTGCAACCACTTGCTAATCTTTATTCATTATTTCACACGAGTTTCAAAACCTTAGTGCTTTATTAAACCCATATATTACATTTTCCCTTTGATCCTTGGAGTTTGCAGTGTAATTTTAAAGCACTTCCATGTGCAGAACAAACACTCCCTTCACCCAGATGAATGCTGAGTGATTTTTTCCTCCCTGTGTTTGCACTTCTGTTGAAGTGATGACATCAGTGCTGGGAACCACATCCTTCCCTAACTCTGCAAATCGGTATCAGAGCTGGGTTTTTTTTGAGTCTCCTCCTCTTGTAGCCACAATCCAAGCTGTTCCCAGAGTTCCCTGGTGCACAGGACAGGATTTACTTGCCTGCTGGATGCTGTCCCCATTGACCATGTGAGGTAGAAGTGGCACTTCATTCAACAGAGGTGTGGCTTCCAAGGGGGGCGGCTGGTCGGCCATCATTTCTTGGGACCATTCATGGACACATCCACCACCTGCTCCAACAAAAACAGGGGTACAACGTTACAGCCACACCTCCTCCCCCAGATAATCCTCTCTTTCACTTGACAGATTTGGTACCAGACTCAACAGCAAAGGATCATCAGACATCAACACTCCACAACTCTCCCCTGAAGGTTTTCACATAAACTGATTTTAATTGGACACAAAATTCACTATAAAACATCCACTTTGGCTTCATTGCACATTTAAAACTTGGGCAAACTGACAGGCTTAAATGAAGGAGGGGATGACATGTCATAGATCCAAGTTCTTCCTTGTGGGTGGGTCCCTTCCAACTCAGAATATTCTGAGTGCATCCAAGTAGTCCAGTATTATCCTACTTTTCATTTTTAACTACTTCATTTAAGCAATAGGGATCCTTCTCCCAAAATTATCCTCTTTAATTATCATGAATATTCAACTTGCCACACGAGTGCTGAAACTGGTACCTCAGTGCAGCAATTACACACTGGGGGAATTTGCATTTATGCAGCACTTTATTCCTAAATTTCAATTTACAATTCTTCTACTCCAGACCCCAAGTGTCAGGCTCAATAATGCACATGCCACATATACATTTCAGTCCCTGTGATGATCAGAAAAGCCCCCAAACTGTGTGATTTCTCCAGTGTTGCAACGTGTCCTCAATGCAGAGTCTGACACGGTGAAAGCAAGGCTTGAGACAACCCCAAAAAAGCATTTTGTAACCAAGTCTTTAACTGAGCCCCATGGAGAAATGCAAAGGAAAAGTGCTGCATAGCTGTGGATTTCCAGGGAATAATCTGTAATTACAGTCAGTCAAAACACAGTCCACATGGTAGGGAATTTTCAGTGTATAGTCAATCCAGCATCCATAAAAAGCACAAGATAACAGGATACAGGAAATGCTGACACTTCCTTCTCCCTTCCCATTACCTCCCATAAACCAGAAGGCAAAGTGTGGGTAGGACAGTTTATTCCTTAAAAATAAAAATCAAAACCAGACTGAAAACATCCCCCCTAAATCTGTGCATGAACCAAGTCAGGCTGTGCCAAGTCCTTGTTCAGTTCTCCACAACCTGCATGGAAAGGGAGTGTTTGGGGAAGGAAAAAGAGGAAAACCCCCGATGAATTCTGTACCTGTGGGACTGAATTTCCAGATTTGCAACAGTGAGAGAAATATCACAGCCTGACTTAGCATTTCTGCTGGTTTTAATTCACTTTGTTCAGCAAAGGTCTGCAACAAAGCTGAGACTACAGGATTTCTCCTCTATTGCCACGACAAGGTAAAGGAGCTGGTGGAATCCACTGATAAAACCCACATTCCTCCTTGTTTGCAAAAGCATCTCAAAATAAGAGATACCATCACACAGTCACAAAATGCAGCACAACAAACTCCTCAAGGCTTCCCAAGAACCTAGATCACTTCACAAACAACTTGTTTTCCAGGTCTGCTCCAGTCACAATTTTCAGAGGCCAAATACGAAGGTGCAAGGGCTGGACACGACCTCAGAGATTGAATTTCTATCAGGTTATACTTACTATATATATTTAATACACTTAACTGCCTTAGCATGTTATTTATTTCCTGAATAAAATAATCTCCTATTTGTCAGGCTTGGAATTGCCTCTGCCAAGGACACAAACACAGCTGATGGTATTTAACTATTCCATTTAAAAATTCCTGCATGGTAAAATTGAGGCAGCTTTTCCTCCTCTACACCTCTCCCATTTTTAGATGGTTAGTGGTTGGATTTAAGCCTTAAAAGCCATAACAGGAATATGCTCTACACAGGCAAAATGAAAATCCTTTATTTTCTATATGCAACAGTCCCAATTTCTTTCATCTCTGAACCTCAAAGACGACAGAAATCAGTACTTAAAATAAAGGGGAAACCCCTTTACCAAAAAGCAACTCCAGCTGCATTCAAATGTTCAAGCACCCAAAATGAGCAGCTGCAGAAAAACGTGTTCTGAAACAGGTCCCAAAGCCACCTGCAATTCTAAATGAACGTTCTGAGTTTCCATCCTGAGCTTTATTAATTAATTTTCTGAGGCTTTGTCTTTAGGACAAACTGTAGAGCAGAGCCCCAACATCCACGTGGGGTTTAGAACCCTCAGCCTCCTGCCTGATGGCTCAGGTAGTGTTTAATTCCCATTGACACCTCCCCACAAATTCTGCTTAGTGCTGTGATTTCATTTTTCAGAGGAGGAACTTAATACTTGGAGTATCAGGAAATAACTGGTTTTATACAGTTAATGACAAACACCAAAAATAGCGAATTTCGTGTCTTGGCAGGAATCTCCACGTGGGCAGAGAAAATAGAAGTACTGACATAAATGAAACCATTTTCAGAACTTCTGGGCAGTTCCACCTGGCTCAGGACGTTGATATTTCCCTGTGCAGCTGGGCTGGGGTGGCTGCAAGCGGCAGAACACTGAGGACAAAAGAGGAATGCCCTGACAGATTGGAAAAAAACGAGTTATTTTGGTTTTACAGCACTGCTTCATTCCTCCAACATCCTGATAAGAGCAGCAAAGACACTGCTGCCCTCAGAGGGAGCCCAGGGAAGGAGGGGGGACTCAACCCCTCCCCACTTCAACAGGTAACACTTTTCCAGGGAAACAGAACGTGATCCAAACAGATTTACCTCCCCAAAGGCTCCATTTCACTGGAGGAAGTAGGTGGTATTGGGGTAAATAAAAAGAGAATTCCTGAAAAGTTATTACATAGTCAGCACAATTTCCTGCAAAACATAACAAAGACAGGGCTCTATCTTGAAAAGCCATTTCCCAACACCCTCCCACAGCTTGGAGCAGGGAATCCAGCCCTGCCCCACAGCCCTCAGCCACAGGGAAAGGCTGATCCCACGGAAAAGGTGGAGGACAATCACTGCCTGGGCAAGGAGATTGCAGGATCCTGAACCCACCTCCATCCACACTCCCACAAAATCATTCCAGGATGGTCTGGATTGGAAGGGACCTTCAAGTCCATCCAGTCCCACCCCCTGCCATGGGCAGGGACACCTTCCACCAGCCCAGGTGGCTCCAAGCCCCGTCCAACCTGGCCTTGGACACTTCCAGGGATGGGGCAGCCACAGCTTCTCTGAGCAACCTCTGCCAGGGCCTCCCCACCCTCACAGCCAAGAATTCCTTCCCAATACCCCATCTAACCCTGCCCTGTGGCAGTGGGAAGCCATTCCCTGTGTCCTGTCCCTCCATCCCTTGTCCCCAGTCCCTCTCCAGCTCTCCTGGAGCCCCTTTAGGCCCTGCCAGGGGCTCTCAGGTCTCCCTGGAGTCTTCTCTTCTCCAGGTGAACCCCCCCAGCTCTCCCAGCCTGGCTCCAGAGCAGAGGGGCTCCAGCCCTGGAGCATCTCCGTGGCCTCCTCTGGACTCTCTCCAGCAGCTCCACGTCCCTGTGCTGTTGTTCCCAGGGCTGGAGGCAGCTCTGCAGGGGGGTCTCACCTGAGGGGGCAGAATCCCCCCCTGCCCTGCTGCCCACGATCCCTGTGGGATCAGCTCAGGGCACGGGGGGTTCTGGGTGTCAGGACATGTCCAGCCTCTCACCCACCAACACCCCCAAGTCCTACCAAATCCCACATCCCTAAAAGTCTGTCAGTGATTCCAGGCTTCCTCTAAACCCTCTGTTTTACCCCAAGCCAAGTCAGCTTGGAGAGGTAACCCCAGCTGGGGGGGGTGTTCATGGCCCAAAATGACAACCCACCCATCGGGAGAACTGTATCAAAGAGCTTCTCGGGTCCTAAAGCCACTTTGTTCCATCAAATCTCAGGAATAGGGGCTCAAACTGCTTTGGCCATGGTCTGTTCTTGGGTATTTTAAGTTAATCCTCAGTAGTAACTCTCCAAGTGGCCAGGGGGAAAAAAAAATACGGAAAAAGTGCTTGCACTGAGAATTGACAGGCTGCACTGACATTAAAGATCAGGTAATACACTAAATTTTAAATTGTAGTCTAAAATAAGCAAGAATAATCCCATCTGGAAGTGTTAAAGACTAGGCAAATTTTGTAATTTATAGGAATTTACTGCAACTTAGTGAATCATTAAATATGAATCAATAGCAGAATTTCTAGAGGTGTCTCTCCAGCTTTGTCACCCTGTCCTGGAGATTTTTGAGTCAGTATGGAATTAAACAGATTGACTTTTAGAAAGTTTACATTTTGCAAGGGCATTTCTGACCTGATTCATTTCTTTGCAGTGGTTTCTATTACACATCAGCTAAAGGTCACTCCCAAACCTGGTCTGAGCTGAGGGATGAATTCAGTCCATGAAGCATGAAAGCCATAAAAAATAAAATAATTGGGATTAATCACCTCTGAAACAAACCTGAAGCAGTTTTAGCTGAGCTGAAACAAGTGACAGTGGAGATCACATTCCTAAGTTAAATAACTTTTGTTTCCACAGATTAGTTGTTCGACACACGCGCATCTCAAAAGCTAAAATACTGCCATTTATTGCAAATTAAAAAATATTTTAAATTAAATAAAAGCAATTCCTACTGCAAAAACGGACCCTGGGACGTGTTCTGGAGTAATTCCACGCTGGGCTGGTGTAATATGGTCGCTCATGTCAACCATATTCACAGAAAGGCCACATTTGCCACGCACAGTCTCAGCCACAAAGGCTTCTAAGAAACCCAGCGAAGCTCCAGGACTGGCCTGGAGCAAACAATTCCCGTACACAGCGGCTGGGCCTGACCTCACTTCCTGACAGAGGGAAAATGCCGAGCCTCTGGAAGGCTGGAACATTGGCCTTCCCTTTCTCCAGCCCGGATTCCTCCCCAGCAGTGCCGCTGGAGCCCGGCCAGCCCCGAGCAGCCACGCAGGGCTCGCCGATCCCAGCTCCCATTTCCAGGGAAAACAGCTCCGTGCTCCTGCACGGAACAGGCAGAGCTCACTGAGGGCTGAATGACACTGGATCATCCTACCAAAGCCTGGAAAACATCAGGGGGTCACAAGACATTTGGAAATTCAAATCTAAAATTGTCTACAATAGTT